CTAATGACATGGGTAGTGTAAAATGTTAGAGGAATTAATAAGAGATATAATCAAAAGGAGATAAGGATATACTTAACGAATAAAACATAAAACTAGAGTTAAAGAAACCAGAGTCAATAGGGTTCTAAAAAATATATTACCCGGATGGGCAATTTAGAGCAATTACCAAAGTGCAGTGAATGGAAGAATATGGCTTGCCTGGGATCCTAATGTATACTGTGTGGATATCGATAGAGTAGAGCCTCAGTTAATCCACTGCCTAGTTAAGGGTCGGATGGATGGTTTTGAAATATATTTTACATTAGTATATGGCTTTAATACAGTGGAATAGAGGAAGGCTCTATGGACAAGTTTGAATGATATTTCTGCACATATGACCAAGCCTTGAATAATAAGTGGGGATTTCAATTCCATGTTGTACACACAAGGATAGGTTGTATGGGAATCCAGTCACAATGAATAAAATGGTTGACTTCCCAGACTGCATTCAGAACCTTTTTTTGATTGAGCTGCCATGGAAAGGAGAATACTATACTTGGTCAAATACTATACTTGGTCGAATAAACAACAAGGAGCTGACATGATACTTGGCAGGATTGATAAAATATTTGTCAGTGATATGTGGATGTGAACTGGGGCAAAGTGTGCACTGAGTATGATAATCCATTCATATCTGATCACTCACCTATGTTATTCAATATAAAATCTGTAAGGCTCAATATTAAATCACCTTTTAAATTCATTAATGTGTGGGTAGCTCATGAGGATTTTGAAGCAACGGTGAGGAACATATGAAAGAGGAGAGTGGTTTAAGATAAAATGGAGGACATCTGGAGAAAAATCAAAGCCCTTAAACCATTGTTCAGAAGGCTTAACACTGAAGAATATAAGGGCATAACACAGATAATTGAGAATGCTAGGTTGGAGCTCATCATAGTACAGGAAAAGATTCAACAACACTACACTTACAACCTACTGGAACAAGAGAAACACACACTACATGAGTTAGATAAATGATCTTTAATTAAAGAAAGCATTCTGAAGCAAAGGTCAAGGGTAAAATGGATCACTCTAGGTGATGCAACACTAAGTATTTCTCTGCTATTATGAAAGAAAGAAGCCACAGGAAGCAGATTTTGGAGATTACAACTATGGATGGATGGAAGCTAACTACTCCTGTTAGCATCAAAGAAGAGTTTGTCAACTTTTAAATCTGATAGGCTCTTCTGCCAATTCATTTCGAGCAATCAATAAACAGATTATACAAAATGGTCCCAAGCTCACTCATGATCAACAGCTCAGCTTAGTTGCAGAAGTCTTAGAGGAGGAGATATATGAATGTCTATGTGTTATCCATGAGGACAAGGCTCCTGGGGTTGATGGCTACGATTCATGCTTCTTTAAAAAGGCATGGCCTATAATTAAACAAGAGATAGTGCAAGTAGTCCAAGAGTTTTTCATTACTGGTAGGCTCTACAAAGCTATAAATTGCACTGCAATCACCCTTGTCCCTAAAGTGAGTAACCCAACAACAACAAAGGAATTCAGACCTATTGCTTGCTGCACAGTCCTATATAAGATCATATCTATAATACTAGCAAATAGATTGCAAAGAGTAATTGCTAGTGTCATAAGTGAAGTTCAAGCATGATTCATTCCTAGGAGGAAAATAGCAGACAACATAATTCGATCCCATGAGCTTGTTAAGGCATACACAAGGAAGAACTCCTCTCCAAGATATATGATCAAAATTCACCTAACTAAAGCGTATGAATCTGTAGAATGGATTATTTTGGAGTAGGTGATGGTAGAATTGGGATTTCCTTGTAGGTTTCAATAGTGGATGCTAGCTTGTGTGAAAATAGTGAGCTACTCTATAATTATAAATGTGGAACCTTCAGAGCCATTTCCAGCAGCTAAAGGGTTGAGGCAGGGAGATCCTATGCCTCCTTTCCTTTTTGCAATTGCTATAGAGTACTTGAGTCGATGCCTAAATGGATTGAAAAAGAAGTGTATTTTCAAATATCGTCCCAAATGTTCCAAGATAGGAATCACTCATCTTAGCTTTGCGGATGATCTGTTGCTCTTTGCAAGGGGTGATATGTCATCAGTCACTCAATTGCAGCAATGCCTCAATCAATTTTATGAGGCTTCAGGATTGAAAGCTAACTAAAAGAAGAGCTCAATTTACTTTGGATGAGTAACATAATTTGTAAGAGAAGAGATATTGCAGAAGCTAGTATATGCCAGAGGTGAATTACCAGTCAAGTATTTAGGAGTCCTTTGGTCCACTAAGAAGATGTCAATAGCTCAACGGCAACCCCTCATTGAGAAAATGGTAGCAAGAATCTCATCATGGAATGCAAAAAAACTCTCATATGCTGGTCGGATACAGTTAGTGTAGTCTGTCTTGTTTGACATCCAAGCTTATTGGTCACATCTGTTCTTGATCCCTAGTAAAGTGCTAAAGACAATCGAGGCCTATTGCAGGAGCTATGTATGGTCGGGAGAGAATGTCATCACAAGAAGATCGCTAGTGGCTTGGGAGAAAATATGTACACGTAAAAGTGCATGTGGACTTAATTTAATCAATCTCAAAATGTGGAATAGAACAACAACAACAAAGAATCATTGGATCTTGCACACAAAGGGGACAAAATGTGGATCAAATGGATACATGCCTACTACATAAAAGAGAAATAAATTTATGATATACCAATATCTCAGCAGGCCTCTTGGCTAGTCATAAAGATGATTGAGGCAAGGGATTTGGTGGAACCAACTCAAATTCAGACCAGGAGTAACAGTAGCATGATCAGACAAATATACTATCTAATGCTTGGTCAATTACCTAGAGTGGAATGGAAGCTGTTTATGTTCCGGAATGATGCAAGGGCTAAAGTTAAATTCACCATGTGGTTGTATTTTCAGGAAATGATGATGACTAATGATAGGCTGGCTCGATGGGGAATGTAGGTGGATACTCTATGCGTACTATGCCAATCCTATGATTAAAGCAGAAATCATATGTTTGCTGAATGTGAGTTTGCCAAGAGAATATGGAAGAGGATACTACGATGGATGCAAAAACAACCTTGCTGTGAAAATTCATGGATCCAACATTGGAAATGGGTAGTGGAACATGCAAAAGGGATATCAAGGAATGCAGTTGTCTTCAAAATGGTATATGCTGAGACAATACACATGATTTGGAATGAGAGAAATCTCAGAATCTTTGAGAAACGTAGCAGGGAAGTAGAAGAGTTAGCTAGAACTGTTGCATGTGTCTATAATGTGAGAGCTTCTGCTCAAACTAGAACACTCCTGTAGCAGCTTAAATTTTGAGTTAGAAGTAGACTAGCACATAGGATTTGAGGATTATTGATGTATGTACAGGTATAGATAGGCATTTTAAATGAGACAAGGGCTGAGATAAAAGTAAACTGTGGTTTTGTAAAGTTACATTGGTAATTAATGGAAAATATTTAATTATCAAAAAGAAAGTATAGAACTATTCGAAGTTTAAAAGCGTTGTTGAACACTTGAACTAATGAAATATTGGAGAAAGAATGTGAGTAAGAATATATAAAAAAGAAAGATAGAAAATATGTAAGAGTTTCTGAAATATGAAAAGATAGGGTAAAAGAAAGATTGAATTGAACAAGTTAAGGAAGAGAGAGTAAATTTTTTAATGAAAGAGTGAAAAGTGAAAAACTGAAAAGTTGGAAAAACTATTCATCTATCCAAGTCAAATTATTATTTTATTTATATATCTAAAAAGTTTTTTTTTCATTTATATTAAAAACTCTATTTTGTATTAAAAGTACAAAATATTATTTTTTAAATAACTATAAACCTATTATTTTTATGAAATGGATCCCCCCAAATTAGGGGACCTAAGGCACAAGCCTTACTATTCATAACGTTGGACCCGACCCAGCTCTTTAGCCCTATGTCTTTATCCCTTGGAGGCCTTCCTCCACTAATAAGTTTTTTCGAAAAACTCTATTCATAATTGTGAAGGTGGAAACAAATAAATAAATAAATAAATAGATAAATAATCAAACCGTAGCTGCTATACTACTACCTAATTACTGATATTTATGAGTAGGGTCATGACAACTCTTTGCTCTTAACTCCAATCAGATTGGGGTTGTCGCTAAAACTAAGCAAATCTAGGTTTTGTTTCCTATGAAGGAAAATATTTCTTGGAGATTTTTTTGATATATAATTGAATTAAATATTTCAAAAAATATTTTCTTATGAATCTATTTTCTTTCTAATTTTTGGAAATTTCTTAAAACTCTCCGCCTAATAGTTTGAACTCTCCCCCANGAGCTGTGGGAGTCACTATCCCAACTTACCTTTGATCTATTTGAGCGAGAATCCTTAAATGATGATAAAATTAGCTTGTTTACAAACATATATTGCATTCATTTTCTGGATGCAAACGCTGTAATGCTTTATTATTTTCACCTAACAATAGTCAGTGGAGGTTGCACACTTGCACTTGCTGTTTATGTATTAAATTTGAGTAAGAAGATCGCTATCACACAAGTAGGAAAACAGACTTGAAAAAATAAAGATAAAACTGAGCTGCAACTGTAGACAGCTAGCTAAAACCTGAAGGCCTAGTGACAAATCCTTAAAAAGGGGCGGATGCAAGCTAAAACGCAAATGCTCGGAATACTTTACTAAATATATGTATTAATACAATAAGAAAATAGATAAGTAAGAAAAAATGATACCATTTAACATAATTGTCTTTTGGTGCATTGGTTACATGTTTGATTTTGCTTTAGGATGTCAAGAGTTTGAACCTGAACTAGCACATTTTTTTGTAAATATTTGAGAGTCTCGGGACCTTTTGTAGCTTAAGACTCAACAAAATCAATTGACTAAGGTTATTTCATATTCTTCTATAAATTTTGATCCGATTACAAAAATCCCTTGAGTACGCATAAAATCCAAGCTGCAGCGTCTCCTCTAGTATTTACTTTGTAGGACCTAACCATAACTTCCTCATTTAGTGCTTTGTTTTTCAAGTTGATCATTTCAAAGATCTGTCACCTTTTTATACCAGTTTTTTCCTTAAGATTTTGGGGCAATATTTCCAACATTCTTCCCTTCCTTGTGCAACATGATTCAAAGGGCTGCATGCTTTCCCAGAGCTCTACTTTCTTCTCTACAGAAGGTCAGTTATTCTCCATCTTCCTAAGATATTCTCCATATGATATCTTTTTTTTTTTATGTATAATCATTTAATATCTGACATTCACTGGCCCGACTGATTCTAATTAGCATTGTGGAAGCGCTCTCTACTATAAGTTTCTCCATATTTAGGACTAGAATCCAAGGCATCTGATTAACGGTGAAAGAATCTCTTCCGGCCCAACTTGATAATCTCCATATGATATAACCATAATTTTTCTTATGTAATCCTTTTGGGAGTTTATTCTAGTAGGATACTCTTTCTTATCCCATTTTACAGGGTTCAAAATATATTTTTCGTCTTTAAATTTTTTTAATAATATAATCGATTTTTAACTTTAAGAAAATTATAACAAATACTACTTGGAGATTTAAGCAGCTTTCTCTTTGACCACAACTATTTTCATGTATATATTTCAAGTATTTTTAATCATAAAAAGTTGTGTTATAGTACTTATTCTTAGTATCTAGTTTTTAAGCATGTAAATACTAAAATCAATGCCCGATCGAATTGAGAATTGAGATGCTCATAGTCCGAGCCTTTTCATTTTTTTTTTCTGCAATGAAGAGGTAGCTAATATGTTTTATGTAATTAAAATATATGAAGTTAATTTATACAAAAATTTTAAAAATTAATGTACGAATTGAAATCCTGAGCTAGTTGTCTCTGTCTCAAATTAATTAAAACATATATGTTTTTAGTACGTTTACAAACATGTACAACTCCAAAAATATGCCCACCATACTGGTGGGGGCAAATAAATTTAATGACCCTTGGGCTGATGTTTTCTATTATATATATATAAACACACACACACTCTTTGAGAGTTTTATTTTAAAAAGTATTTATTTGACTACACAAACATTAAATATTTTGAAAATGTTTGATTATAAATATTATATTTTATAATATTTTTATTTAGTTTCTATTTATGTATTCTGTACATCCTCTTCCAAAACTTAAAGTCTTAAACCATGAATTGGCGTGGAACATAATAATTTACTGTATTAATAAACTATTCTTTGGGAAGATGTTATTTTTGAAGTAGCAGAACTGCAAAAGGAACGGGGGGCATTCTGGAGGCTGCCAAGCTTAATTAAGTTTGGTAGAAGTATTACTCCCTCTATAGTTTATAATTAGTAAACATAATTTGACTAGACAAAAAATTTAATAAAGAAACAAAGGGTTTTAAAAATTTATGATCCTAAACACATCATTTTAAATAAAACCTGTCATACTTTTTAAAATGGATTAAGAAAATATAATGCCAATTATTAAATTGGAATGGAGGGAGCATATGAAATATAAAAAGATAAAAACCAATCAAAAAACATGGAGATCCTCAATAAATGCATATTATATATTTTACAAAATAATAATTAACTAACACATGATATTCTCACTTTAATTTATTACTTTGATAAATTAGTTGTTTGAATTATAAATTATACTGTATAATACAAAGAAGTTTCTACCTTGATTTACATCACAATAAAGAATTGATGAGTGGCTTTATGTTATTGTAGGTAGGAGCTAGGTACTTTACTGCCCCTGCAGCTCTAACTTCTGCACAATCTTCTGCTGATTGGTGAGTTGCTTTTAATTTGAAACCAACAACTCCACGTTGGAAGTTTATCGTATACAAAAGAAAAAAAAATTTAATGTTTGTTTGACCTAAATCTTGAAGAAAAGTTATTTTTTAAGGATCTGCAAACTCTATTTCTCCAAATTTTTAAAAATTGAGAAAGTTCAAAAAGAGTTACTGATTAAGTATGTAGACATGAATTCACTTGAGAAAAGATTAAAGTTTTATAATTGGAAACTATTATTTTACTCCAAATACTTCTAATTACTTTTTCACGTTTTAAATTCTTTATTGTAAGATAAAGTTGAAATAATGGACCAGATTGTAAATAAGCATTTATTGATATTTTAAAATATTTCAAATATTATCTATGGGCAAACGGCTAAGTTTTCAAATAATGAGTTTCTAATAAAGGAACAGTAACCTTTTTCCAAGATTTAACTCAAAAAACTCTATTGCAGCAAACAAACGCCCGAATTTTTTTAATTCTCTGAATATATTTTTTTATTGAATATTTGACGATACATTATTATTATGATATCAGGGATTACGAATCAACGGATTATGATTGGGATAATCTTGGGTTCAAGGTGATTCAAACTGATTATATGTTCATGACAAGATGCTCTCAATATGGAAATTTTGAAAAAGGCCAACTTAATCCTTATGGGAACATTGAATTGAGCCCCTCTGCTGGTGTCTTGAACTACGGACAGGTTAATTCTTTATTTTCTTTTAACTCAAATTTTCCTGTATCACTCTTCTTCTTTTTTTTTTTTTTTTTTTTTTTTTTTTTTTTTTTTTTTTTTTTTTTTTTTTTGGTTTTCCATTCGATGTCTGGTATTCGCTTTGTGCCCGGACTAATTCGGATTTGTTCAAGAAGCCTCACTTTAAGGAGGTAAATTGAACCGTTTCTTACCAGGCACGACTCCTTTTTAAACCCGAAATCTCTGATTAAGGCCGAATAGATATTTACCACCACACCACGACCTTTTTTCTTGAAATATTCATTCAAGATCCAAATGAGAGTAGACAAGATTGTTATGAAATCAAACAAAAGATAAGATTATAACATTGCCAGATCTTTTATTATGGTAGTCGACAATATTTTGAACAACTATATATAAAATGATCTATTATATTGTGGGGATGAGTTTGAATGACAACTATTCGTATGTTGTCTTTTTATTATAATCGTTCTTTTAGACAGACAATGAGGTATTAATCAGCAATAGTAATTAGCACCAATTTAAAACTAGGAATATCCTAAGTTATCAATTTGCAGAGGGATTCAGTTCTTCTATTCTTACCAGTTGAGTATCTTGGACCACAAAACAGATAAGTATGGGCATTTAAAGAACAACTGTTCAATTGGCTCCTCCCTTTCATACCAAAAATATATTGGATTTTGTAATATATATTTAATCAACGTTTTAGAATACAAAAAGGATTTTTTTCCCCATCAAATTCACCTGAATTGACCAATTACTCGACCGTGAATTAAGTGAGACATTAATGAAAAAGACAGTGTATATTAGACAACTATTCTTATGGTCCCTTATTTCTGGAGGTAGACTAAAATAATTCTTTAAATATATCCCTGAACAATTAGTCATTTAAGGTTATCAAAAGCAAGTATTTTTTGTGTCGGTCAAATATTAAATAAACTATCGATAAAGTGTTAAGTACTCTTTCATGTTTAACCAAGAGGTCTCGGGTTCGAGACCTAAGTATGGAGCACTTTATCCTCCAATGTGAGACTTTTGACACAAATATGAATTTAGTCAAATACCAATGCGAATATTGAACAACGAGTGAATAACCAAAAAAATATTTAAAAAACTCCGATTGTTAGATTTAAGTACATTCTAGTATGGGTGTGTTTGGTATAACGGAAAATGTTTTTCAAGAAAATGTTTTCTTGGAAAACAAGTAGTAATCTTATTCATTTTTCGATGTTTGGTACGCAAATTAAGGAAAATGACTTCTCAATAATATTCATAAATAATTTAGATATAATAAACATGAAGTCATAAACTTTCAAACCAACAAACTTCCGAACCCACAAATTTCATAAACTTTCGTACCGCTAAACTTTCAAGGGGGTGGGATGGGGAAGGTTGAGAAGGAGTGTTGGAAAATGTTTTCCGTTTTCTTAATAAGGAAAACATTTTCCTCCAATTTGAGAAAAATGAGTTGATAAGAAAATATTTTCTAAAACATTTAAGCCAACCAAACATGAGAAAATTGAAAAAACACGCCCTAAAGGTAGAATTTAAAAAATGTACTATAATAAATAACTTCATATTTTTCTAAAATATCAAAAATATTTTTAAAAAATTATGGAGTGACTGTACCACTTGGACCGAAGTATGGAGTGACTGTAGGGTCATTTAATGTTTCTGACCACGATATGCTGGTAAAAGTTGGGTCCGAAACCTAAATAATGACTTTTGGGACTCAGAATACGCTTTTATAGTTTTAAAATAAATTATTTTTCTACCTAAAACGCAATATAATACTGTATTTTACTTTAACGGAATTTTAGCCGTTAAAGTAAAGTGCACTATAATACTGCGTTTTACAATAACGCATTATAATAGTGCGTTTTACACCTCTGTTCCTTACTAGAGGCCTGACAAAACACGCCCTTAGATGTAGGGAGTATATGCTATTGTTTTTTCTCTTTTCTTTGATGTAGGGACTCATGAATTGACCGATCACTATGATAATGAAAATTAAATCATGAATGCATGTCAGTAGGCCCTCCTTAGAAGAAAAATTACTGATACACGTACTTCTATTTAATTCTTTAAAAGACATGTTTTCAATTTTTATCTGTTCTGTTCCTTATATTGATTTCGAAATATAAAATGAAAACAATAAAGTATGAATTGCGAAATTATTATTTCATTCGTTATATTTTGTTTCTCATAATTTGATTTGATATATAATTAAAAAAAGAGTTTATCTTAAATATTTCACAATACATGTATGACCATAAAACTTTTAAACTTTATCTATACTTATACTATATTAAAAACACGAAAGTCCTTAGCGAAATATTGCTCGTCTTTTTTACCCTTTAAAATATAGTTTACACTAAATAAAATAGTAATTTTAATATTTTCCTAATATGTAGGAATGATCATTTAGATATTTTCCTAATATTTGGAATATTGGAATCAACTATAGTGCTGATTATTAACTTTTTTCAATATTGGAATTATATAGAGAATCCTAATATTTAGGGTTCTAAAAGCAATTAAACTTTTATTTTATATAGATTTCCTTATTTAAAGCCCATTAATATTAAAGTTATGGTAAAGTATAATATATTTTCTTCATTCAAAACTTAGAAATTAAGAAGTTATATTTGTACTACCTTCTTTTCGTCTAATTAGCACTACTCTAAACTCTAAAGCTACTAAAAATAGGCACACATAAAACGTAGGACTCAATTTTAAAATTGAGTTTTAATATTTGATTTAGTTTTTTTACAATTTTTGGGGCTATTTCCTTCTAATGTCTTTTATAATATGACATATTTCAAATATTTAGATTCTTAACTAAAATTAAGGGTTTAAATATTTATCATACATTAATAGTTTTATAATATTAATAAATAATTGAAAGGAATAATCGAATAGAAAGAAGATTGATTTATCTCATTCTAAATATCAATATTCAATTTAGGTAAATAAATATGCAATATAAACCATGGAATAAGTTAGAACTTGTTCATGAGATAAAAGAGTTGTAATCCCCATTTTTATCATTTTGGAAGTGCAACTACTTTTATTTTGTACTCATGTAAAGAATTTTGTGTTATTAAATTTAATATTAAAAATATTTAATGCCATTAAAGGGAAATTTGAACATTAAATAAATGTTATTAGATTTTATCATGTGAATTTTGTTTCGTTATAAAAAATAAAAATAAGAGAGGTGAGAGTAATTCTCAAACCGCAATAGAAGTTGTGTTATAAGGAGAATCTCAGAGGAAAGTTTCAACATTATCCCAAACTGTGATTATATCTAAATATTAAAACATGGGATGAATTAATATTAGGCTTTTAATTAATGAAAAAAATATTTTCTTTAATGTTTAAAATAAATAATCAAATTATCTAAGTAGCAAAAGAATGCAATTCAATTTTATCTTAAAATTATCATATAAGTAAAAATATTTTCCAAATAGAAAAAACTACTAGGAATGTATTACGTTATTACTTTTCTTTGATAGAGAGAAAAGTAGGCTCTTAGAAAAAAGATACATGTGACTAAAGTTTAAAAATAATTAATATTAAATTAATATTTTATATCAAACAACTAAATATGTTAAAAAAATACAGTTTCAATCTATGGGAATGTTTACAAAAACAAAAAAGAAAAATAATTAATGACAAATGATATGGAATATAATTTGTCTTCTAAGGGGGCCCTACTGACATACATTCATGATTTAATTTTTATTATCGTAGTGACGGTCAATTCATGAGTCCCTACATCAAAGAAAAGAGAGAAAGCAATAGCATATACTCCCTACATCTAAGGACGTGTTTTGACCTCTAGTAAGGAACCGAGGTGTAAAACGCACTATTATAATGCGTTATACTACGTTTTAGATAGAAAAGTAACTTTTTTTTTAAACTGTAGAAGTGTATTTTGAGTCTCAAAAGTCATTATTTAGGTTTCGGACTCAGTAAAAGTTAGACAAGGCTTTATAGGCTACCAAACGAGTTAACTCTTTTCCGATAATACTAATGTTAAACAAAAAATCACTGATGCAATTTTTAAAAATAAAACAGGGTTTAATTGAAGGTACAAAAGCTTATAGAAGAGATGATGGACGTACTTTTCTTTTCCGTCCACACGAAAGTGCAATTAGAATGCAAATTGGTGCTGAAAGAATGTGTATGCCTTCCCCTTCTACTCAACAATTTGTCGATGCTGTCAAGCTAACTGCTCTGGCTAATAACCGTTGGGTAATTATTCTTCTCTTAAAATCTTCTATTAATGTGTGTTTGGTATGATAGAAGATATTTTTCTACGATAAAACATTATTCATTGCAACATTTAATTTTCTTCCTACCAAACACACATGGATTTTTACTTTTTCTCGTTGATCCGTCATATTCAGCATATGTTAATATTTAGTGACCATGTGTGTTATTAATAAGAACAGATCCCACCAGCTGGCAAAGGGTCACTTTATGTTAGGCCTCTGCTTATAGGAAATGGGCCTATACTTGGGGTGGCTCCAGCTCCTGAGTATACATTCCTTGTCTATGCTTGCCCAGTGGGAAATTATTTAAGGGTATGCTTCTTTTCTTGAATTATTAATTATTTTCTTAATCTTTTCACTTAAAGTTTAACTTTTATTTCTATTTCCATATATACAGAATGGAACACAACCATTAACCTTATATGTTGAGGAGGAACATCATCGTGCCTCACAAGGGGGAGCTGGTGGAGTCAAAAGCATTACTAATTATGGCCCGGTAAATGCTCCTACTAATATATATTTGGCTGGTCAGCCAAAAATAATTACATCCGCTAACTAAATATATACAAAAAATATGTACCTTATACATTTATATACCTATGACATACATTTGCCGGTTATTATTTTTTAGAGTGGCTACACTACGTTGAATTTTCATGCAAATGGTATCAAATGGTCCCTATTTGGATCTTAATTTTTGGTCATGCAGGTTTTGAAAGCTATAAAGAGAGCAAAGGAGAGAGGATACTCAGATGTATTGTACCTTGACTCAGTAAATAATAGATATATTGAAGAGGTCTCTGCCGCTAACATTTTCCTTGTTAAGGTAATTAACTCCATGTTCTACTTATTTATTTATATATATACCCCTATCACTATAAGAGGCAAAATCAGAACATGAATTTAATTTGATGGGTTCAATCTTTGAGTACTTACTATTGAATTCATTTTTTTAACTTTTATATTGTTAAATTTTTGTTATTTTGTACATATATTACTATCCCGTGTCAAAAATATTGAATTTAATATAGCCCATTGAACAAGCTCCATCAGCCACTGACTACACTGGTTTTACAGTGAACGTAATATTTGATCCTCAATTAATTAATGAGATTTTTAAAACGTCTTATAGGGAAAAGTCATTGCAACGCCAATCCCCAGTGGAACCATTCTTGAAGGAATCACAAGAAAAAGCGTTATAGCCATTGCACATGATCTTGGATACCAGGTATTTATCAACTTGCTAGTCCATGCAATTTAAGAAACTACTATAAAGAACGGATTTAACTTATATAACTGACAGTGTAAAATATCTTTTACGTTATCAATTTAATTAATTTAACATGTCGTAGCAGTTTCTCTTATTTTCAAGATAACTAGTTCAATTTATTATAGACAGTTAGTTATCTGTAGTTATCATTTAGGTGACATAATAACGTAAGTTTTTTTTTTTTTTTTTTTATCTATATTGTATAATAGTTAAACTCATAGAGAATTAACTGGGTGCTAATTATACCATCATGAACCACAAGAAGGGATGATTTCTAAGGGTTTGTGTACACCTTGGTCCAGGTTGAAGAACGTTTGATTGAAGCTGAAGAATTGATTAGTGCAGATGAAGTCTTCTGTACAGGAACTGCACTTGGTGTTGCACCAATAGGAAGTATTACTTATAAGAACAAACGGTAATTTTTAATCTAATTTGCGATTTCTCACTATTCGGATAATTATGACTCAAATATTGCTTACACTTAGTTATGACTTCGCTTCATTAAAAAGGTTTAAACTATTATTTGTTAAATTAGCTAACTAAAAATTGTGATATAAACTTGCAGGATTGAATACAAGGTAAGCTCAGAACTAATTAGCGAGCAATTAAACTCGACACTAGTAGCGATTCAAAAAGGTATTATCGAGGACAAGAGGAATTGGGTTCTTGAGATTAAGTGAGCTTTGGTTTGATGACGTTAACAAAGTTAAACTTGCAAAATTTGTGCACCATTTTTTTGTAATAAGTTATAAGTAATTATTTTGAGACATGAGATTAGCTAGACAAATTATCATTGTATTAATTAAAGTGTTATGCTCTAAGAGCTCCATATACCCTAAATATTGGGCCGTTGGATTGAGTGGATGTCTTGAAATTGGGAAAAATTAAAAAATAACCAGATTTACAAGTGGTCATTCAAAAATAGTCACGCTTTCAAAAGTAATCAAAATTTAGCTACTTTTCATGTAAAGATAAATTTGAGCGAAAAATACTATTCAAAACCCGAAAAATACGCCAGTATATTATGCTGGGATTCCAGCATAAGTATACTTGAAATCCAGCATATTGGAGTTCCAGGATAAGTATACTGGAACTCTAGCATAATATGATGGAGTTCCAGCATAAGTATACTAGAACTCCAGCATAATATACTGGAGTTCCAGCAAAGTATACCGGTCCAGTATAATATGTTGGAAGTTCATACACAAGTGCTCGAATCTCTAGTATATTATGCTGGAACTTTCGTGTGTTGGAGTTCCAGCATAATATGCTGGAAGTTCATACACAGGTGCACCGAACTCAGTATATTATGCTGGATTGGTCTCTGTTGCAGCAAAATAGTGGTTATTTTTCAATGACTTGGCAAACGCTGACTATTTTTGAATGACCAGTTCAAAAACTGGCCAACCCGTGCTATTTTTGCATAGATCTTTTGTTGGATAAACAATGTGGCCAAAACGTTAAGAGTCTCACGACCTAATGAACTCACTTCTAGGGTTAGGTTATGCCCAATGTTCATTTATCACTAAACACGTACCAAATGCAAAAATGCTCCCACAACGATCTCTCAAATAGTCAAATGTTTAATCTCTTTTGTGATATTGTATGCTTTGGGTCAAACTCGCACGATTTTTTCAAGCCACTCATAATTAACGGATCCCTGGTTCTCAAGTCCGTTTAAGTAACCGATCCACACACTATCACGCTGCCATCACCATACTCATCCCGTTGGACTTGACTGTGATAGCAGTTGTTAAGCTAATATATTCCAAAAATACTCTTAACATGATGTTCCGCTTTGGGCCAAGCCTGCACGGTTTTTCCCAAAAGGCTTTTCATTGTTAAAAAATCTCTATATCTTATATGTAGATTCCAAACCTTTCAAGCTACTAATGTGAGATTTTACTCGCACACTCAATATTTGTCTTCTAGTTTTGTCATGATTGCCCTGTTTTAACATTATGAGAAGTTCATATCTAAGTAAACAAAATTGCGTTGGGCTTAACTCAAAAGATTTGTAATGGAAAAAAAAACAAATCAACAGGACTTAGGGTGTGTTTGGTATAATCGAAAATGTTTTCCGTAGAAAATATTTTCTTAGAAAACAAGTAGTAATCTTATTCATTTTTCGGTGTTTGGTACGTAAATTAAGGAAAATGACTTCTCAAGAGTATTCATAAATAATTTAGATATAATAAACATGAAACCACAAACTTTCAATCCAATAACCTTCCGAGCCCACATTTTTCATAAACTTTCGAAACCGCGAAATTTCGAACCCGTAAACTTTATAATTTCTAAATCCATAAACTTCCAAACACATAAACCTCCGAACTCATAACTTTGGAACTTGTAAAATTTTTAACCTTTAAACCAATAAATAAAATAACTAAAACTGAAAAATATATTAGAAAATATTTTTTCGAGNAATAATTTTTTGCGGGGGTGGGGTAGTAGGGTGGGTGGTAACGGATAAAATGAAATTTGAAGAAAAAAAAAAAACTTTTTTTGGAGAGAGGGGGTGGGATGGGTTGGTGAGGGAAAGGTTGAGAAGGAGTTTGGAAAATGTTTTCCCTTCTCTTGATAAGGAAAACATTTTCCTCAGATTGGAGGAAAATGAATTCATAAGGAAAATATTTTCCAAAACATTTAAGTCAACCAAATATGAAAAAATTGAAAAATATTTTCCGAAAAATATTTTCCTTCGTACCAAACACACTCTTAGCTTACAGTCACGTAAAAGGTCTAATGCCGATGAAAAAGTCCAGTTTTCAGTTGATGTTAACACAGTAACAGCATTAACCATTTATAGAAACTGTAGCCGGTGAAGTTGTGGAGCTCGATCATTATATCCATTCTCCATCACCAACAAATTAACAGTATTAGTCATTTAATGGTACTGTGGTAGTCATAGAAAAATTCCTCCTTAGCTTATGTGTCAAAACCAAACAGCAAAAAGATAGACTAGAAAGTTGTCTTGAGCTGTACACAAGATTATGTTAGTCAAATTGATAAGACCTTTAACCCCTAGCTAAATTTAATGGAGAGTGATCAAGAGACCTATGTCTTTGTCGTGTCTCATTTAATAATCTTTAGCATATTGTAATGTAATTTTTTACCCTCCAATTCCTTTTGATGTATATACATTATACAGCACCAAACACTACTGTGAACTTGCACAATGATAAAAGAATATGGCTAGGAGATGAAACAAATGACATGTTAATCGGATTAGATTGAACAACTGAAAAAGTTAAGGGGTAACTTTGATAAAAAAATGAATTCCTCCGACTTCTCTCTAGAACTTCTCTCTCTAGAAAATCGTCGTTGACGCACTGACGGTGACCTAGCGTGCGCCTCTGCCGACATGGGTAGGAGGAGACCTAAGAGAGTGGTTCTGATCACAAAAGCGATTAAGGAAATACTAAGCAAACTATAAGGTGAGAGATAATGAGGAAATGCATAGCTCTCAGATTTCAATGGAACAGTTGCAACAGATGGGTGAGATGGGGCCGCCTCTGCAAGGATCGAGCTCAACTCAATCAGCTCCAAGAGGAGGTGGAGGCCAAAATTTTATGCGAAGCCAAGCAAAGGAGACTTTAGTTAGGGCTCCAATAGCAGAGACGATTGAGGCTAATATGGAGAATCAGATAAAAGTTGCAGGCCAGATTGGTGCACACAAGCCAATTACGATCTAGAATGCCCGGATCCATAAATAATTGGATGCAGAGTAACAGAAGAACAAAAAGGAAGGGTGAACTTATTTGCTGGGAATAATTTAGCAGGAAGAGGTATGAATCTCAAATTTGTCCCACATACAATAAAGGAGGGTGAAAAATAGTTGAACTAGATAGTGAGAAAACCGATCGAAAAGCTGCAAAATGGAAGCATGCAGTTGTATTGTATGTAGTTGGAAACTCCCCCTCAATAGGAGCCTTGGATCGTTTCATTGCCGATCAATGGAATTTCATTGCCAAGCCTAAACTTTACGTCCATAAAAATAGATACTTTGTGGTTAAATTTAACTGTGTGGAAGATAGGGATGTTGTGCTGCTGTCCGGTCCACACACTATAAGAAGTAAGCCTATCATTGTCAAAGCATGGTCTCCGAACTTCGATTTTGATACAGACGTGCTTCAGACAATACTTATATGGGTAAAGTTGCCAAACCTGCCATTAAATTGCTGGAATATGGACTCACTTAGCAGAATTGGTAGTGGTTTAGGAGTTCTACTCATTGCGTGTGAATGCACAACTAAAGTTGAAAGGATCTCCTATGCTAGGCTGCTAGTAGAGATGGATGTCACAAAGCCCATGCCTAAATCGATTAAAGTCATGGATCAGGCTGGGAAAATCTTTGACCAACATGTTGCATATGATTGGCTCCCTGAATATTACCCCACCTGCTTAAAAGCTGGTCATGTTTGCAGGACTGAGGTGAGAACAGCAAAGACCATTCCTGTGGCCAAGCAACAACAAACAAAACCAAGAATGGAATGGAGAAGAAGAGTAGGGCAAGAGAAGGTCGAAGCAGGGACAGATCAGCAGCCTCATAACATGATACAGGTGCAAACATACCAAGAGTCACAACAAATAAGCCCAAATACTATAAATCAAGGGGGAGACCAAATGACAACTTGGGACACAGCTAAAGGGAAATCAGCAGCTAGAGGTTCTCAATCCAAGACAAGGGAAACAAAAATGATTAATGTAGTGAATGGGTTCAGCCCATTAACTATTCCAATAGCTGGAGAGATATTGGACAACACTAATGGTGAGAAGGGGCAATGTAGTTATCAAGGGATTACTGGGTATCCACAACTCAAAGATTCAACTAAATTAAGATCATATCATGGAATGTGGGGGGGGGGGGGAA